ATCACCCGTGCTCGCGGTCAGTCACTTACCAATTTGTTGCCACCTACCGATGGTAGAGAGCACGACCCCCTGGAGAGATGGAAGGGAGCTCCGGTCATGTCCTGGGGAGTCGGCGGAACGTTTGTAACAATATTTCCCAAGAGCATACCTCGCTACGCTATAGGACAAAGCACACCAGTTACTGTACGTACAGTGGGTGAAGTCAAGGTTCAGAATATTAAGGATCTGGACCCTCTTCAGGATCACCTGGCCAAATTTCCTGGCCCTTTGAAAGGAAAGTCGAAGAAGAAGGAGGCAATTTCATGGCTCTCTGCTGGTATTGAATCCATGGAAAAGGAGCTCCCGGATGTCACATTCCAGTCTCATCTGTCCCTGGAGGATAAACGCTCCATCGAGCGACTCTTGCTATGGAAGCTTTTGAGAGTCTTCATCGAACATGATGGTGTGCTCGAGGGTAGTCCGACCGTGGACAAGTCAGTTCGAGAGGTCTTGACCCCCGAGACCATTGGGATGCAAAGTGAGGGTGCACCGCTCTTTACAGCGGCAGATACCACAACGGCAGTTACCTCGATGCAGGCAGATGGTGTGGACTCCGGAGCCGTTGAAAAGATTCGCCTAGACTTGCTCAAGGGGGATCGTGAGACTGCTGTTTGGGCTGCTGTGGACAAGCGCCTCTGGGGCCATGCCATGATCATTTCTCAGACCGTCTCCTCAGATCTGTATAAACGAGTCGCGCAAGAATTTGTGCGCAAGGAAGTCAACTACCCAGGCCATAACAATGAGTCTCTTGCCGCTCTATACAAGGTTTTGTCTGGCAATTATGATGACTGCGTTGATGAGCTTGTGCCTTCTCATGCCCGCGCAGGATTGCAGCTTGTGTCTACTGAAAATTCTTCTGGCCCTACCAAAGACGCTACGGAAGGCCTTGACAAGTGGCGTGAAACATTGACCCTCGTGTTGAGCAACCGCAGCAATGACGATGTTCGAGGGCTGAATGCTCTGGGTAAGCTGTTGTCTAGCTACGGACGAGCCGAAGCGGCACATATCTGCTTCATTTTTAGCCGGCAGCTATCAGTTTTTGGCGGACTGGATGACCCAAAGGCAGACTTTGTCCTGCTAGGTTCGGACCATCACAAGCAGTCAGACCAATTTGCCAAGGAGACTGAAGCCTTGCAGCTCAGTGAAGTCTACGAGTATGGACTGACTCTGGCTGGAGGTGTTACAGCAACTGCGGGAGCGCCTCATCTTGCAGCTTATAAACTTCAGCATGCCGTAACACTCGCTGAGTACGGCTACCGCGATAGGGCTCTGCAGTACTGTGATGCGATTGCTTCGGCCATTGTTTCCCAGACACGCAGATCTGCCTACCATCACCCCATTCTTGAAGGTTCCGTGGAAGATTTCTTGGCAAGATTGAAACAGGCACCCAAGGAAGCATCCTCGTCCTGGATCTCTAAGCCCACGATGGGAAAGGTATCTGATAGCATGTGGAACCGATTTAACAAGTTTGTCTCCGGGGATGAGGACGGCAATGGCCAAACTGGGTCAGATGGTGATAACGGACCTTTTGCCCGTATCGCTTCTTCACCGAACAATTCTAGGCCGCCATCGACTTCCAATTTTGATGTCTATGCTGCTTCTCCAAGCTTTCCATCCGCTTCTGCACCGCCTGCAGCCGGTGCCGCCGCGACTCGATACGCCCCGGTACCAACGGCCCAATTCCCTACCTCCCACGCCAATCCATATGTTCCAGCCGCACAGGGGCAGCATGTGCCACTGCCAAATTCGACAGGCAGCGCCCAAAGATACGCCCCCAACCCATTCGAGGCAAGTTACTCAGGCGCACCGCCTGCACAACCTCAAACTGATGGCTACCAGCCCGTGAGTTATCCTGAAGCCGCTGCAACTTCTGGTCACCAGCCTGTTGAGTCAGCTGCAACCCATACTCAACAGCAGCCAGCCCCTGCCGTCCGGGCTGCAGCCTCTGCCGGGTACCGGCCGTACAGCCTTCAAGAGTCACCAAATATTCAACCCCAGCCCGGAGCTGATGACGCCGACCAAGGGTATCAGCCGCCATCTTACGGTTACGAACCTCCACAAATAGTTCCAGTTCCAGTTGCAAATGATGCTCAAGGAACGGGTGACAACAGCGGATATGAGCCACCTTCGTTCCAGCCACATGGTTATGAGCCCCCATCATACCAGGCCCATATTGAGGGTGATGACGCACCCAAGCCCAAGAAGAAAGGCTTTATGGAAGATGACGATGAGGATATTCCCACACAAGGGCAACCGCAGGAGAGGTCAAAAGCGGAAAAAGACCGAGAGAATGAGGAAATGTTCCGCAAAGCGGCGGAAGAGGATGGTGAGTGTCAAGTGTCTATTTTTTATCATGCACCAAGTTTGCTAATAGATATAAAGCCAAGCGAGCAGCTTCAGCAGCCAGTGCCAAAAAGGGATGGGGTTTTGGAGGCTGGTTCGGGGGTGGCAAAAAACCCGAAGTCAACATTGGCGAAGCTCAGGCAGGCAAAGCCATCAAGGCCAAACTGGGTGAACAGAGCAGCTTCGTCTATGATCCGGATTTAAAGCGTTGGATCAACAAGAAGCCAGGTGCCGAGAACGTCGAAACCAAGAAGGCCGCCCCGCCACCACCACGGGGTGCTCCTCGCACTCTAAGCGGCACCCCCCCTCCTGCGGTGCCTGGCACTCCGCCCCCAGCTGCTGGACGATCCAGCGTTCCTCCCATGCCGTTCCGATCTACTGCGGGCAGATTGACGACTGCTCAGTCTATGGAAAACCTGGCTGGTGCTTCTGCTATGGGGGCACCCCCCACAGGCCTCTCACGGTCGGTATCTAGCAACAACACGACGTCGGCGCCACCGTCTACAGGTCCGCCCAGTAGGCCGGCGACCAGTATGAGTAACGCAAGCAGTATTGATGACTTGCTCGGTGCGCCTGGCCCAAGAAAAGCAGGTCAGAAGAAGGCGCGAAAGAGCGGCCGATATGTCGATGTTATGGCCAAGTAGTTGAGTAATACGGTGTGGAAAGAAGGATGGCTCGAACCTGAAACATAAAATTGGCAGAGCACCAATATGATGGGTTCATACACATATTACGGCGTTTCGTCAATAGAATTAATACTGAGCATTCATGTACTATAGATATTCTATTTTTCCATACTACAGATCTGTAGTATTCATGCCAATTACAATACCATTTCAAGAAATATCATGCTACAGCCCAAAGAAGTCATGACGCACGACCCTGTAGTCGTTCTCATTTCTTACCCAACTCGAATTGATATATACACATGTTCTTCGTCACCTGCTGTATGATTGTACGTAATACTGTAGCTAGTTAGATGAAGCGGCCGCTTTGTTTGTTTGAGAACTTACGGTAACAACAGACTCTTCCTCAGTTGCATCATCATAATGCGGCACATAAACATAAAGGATCAAGGCATGGTCATCTGCAAAGCAAGCAATAACGCGACCCTCCAGTCGACCCACGCTTAGTACTCTACTCCAGTCCCTGCCATCTACACGCACCGTGGCCCATCGATCTGGTCCCTCTTCGCGAAACTTCGTACTAGGGTGCTCTTCAACAGGCCGTTCCAGCTGCAGAGGGTCTAGTTCGGGATTTTCGAGATCGGACCATACGCTGCATATGTCAGTTGTTTCAGTGGCTATTCGCAGCCGCAAGCTCCCGTGCATATTGGCACTTAGTTCCAATTTTGGTGCCTTGGAAGAATTTGCCCCTGTCAGAGCTAGCTTTGTGAAGCGATCCGATATAGCTTTGAGTTGCAGCAACGGCGGCAATTGAATGTGGACATCTGGTTCCCGCACTTTTGGCTGCATGATTGTCTCGACGGTTGCTGGGTGCAGCACACGCACGGGTATGTCCTGTGTGATGATCTTCTCGTGCTCTCTGCGTAGTGACGTCTCGAGGTGCTCCTGCTCAAAGACGTCATCGCCAAAGGGATCTTCAGACGACAATTTAGCTGCGGCTGAGGACACATTTGACGTGGTTGTCGTGATGGTCATGGAGAGAATTGGCAGGCCGTCCTTTTTAGTGAGCCGCAGGGACGCAGATATGCTGTTGAGCGCGGATTTGAGTGCGCGCTGGAGCGGCTGAAGAGGAAGTTCGAGGTTGATGGTGTTGTGGGACTCTGCGGATTGGATGTGGTGGCCCTGGAAGATGAGATCCATTGCTAGTGAGCTACGGGAGAGTCAGTGACGAGGTGAGATGGCTTGGCGTAGGGTGAATCCATACGCCCAGACTTGTGATCCCATATCTGGGATGACGGTGAATCTGACTGTCTCATCACTGAGGCGGACCCAGGCTATCTTTTCCAAGGATGAGAGAGCAGCCGTAAGTTCTGGCAATTGTTAGCGGTTTAAGAAGTGATTTAAAACGTGTACGGTTGGACATGCTCGCAAACGTGCGTATGTTCTTCAATTCTGTGCGAAACCGCATCTTGGGGTTTGCGTCGCGAGGAGTGAAGATGAGGTTCGATGCAGGCGCGATGCGAGCAGTGGTGGGGTTCAATGTTTGGTTGGACCTTGCTTTAATAAGAAGTGTGGTGTAAGGTACCTACCTCAGGTACTGTACTTAATTAAGCACATACACTTGTGCAGTGGGTAGGGTAGGGAGGACTTGAGCAACTTACACAGTTCCTGGATGACAATGCAGCCTCGATCAACATTTAGCATCTGATGCCACAGATCAACTGAGTACACCTTCCCGACACATGGAAGAGAGATGATATTGTTTATTCCATAGGCCCCGAAAATCAAAACATCGAAACTTCTTTCGCACCATGCATACACTACATTCTTGCCATCAACTATAGCCACTCTCTTTTTTTTTGGAGGGGAATACCTCTCTTTTCTTTCCTTTACGCAGACCAGATCATTTGATACGTAAAAGATTTTTGATCCCAGCCTCGCTATGAACGCTTTATTCCAGTCCACCCATTCTTACTCTTTCTCGGGTGAAAAATGGCCCGCGTCAAGGACATCCTCCGCCGGACAAGGGAGAAGTATGGCAGGGAATATTTTGAGCGCTGGGTTCTACAACGGCGTGCATCCATGGAACCCAAAGAACCCCTTTTAACCGGACGACCCATTGAGAATGATGAGGTAACTAGTTCGAATGCTGCCGGTCGTCTGGGTTCGCCGCCAGAACCAGAGTCACCAATCCTCGCAATGGCCCGCCCGGTCCAGCTTCCAATATTTCGCCCTTTGAGGGCTCGATGTCCCAGGCAGAGCTCCAGTGACAGCCAAGCTACGACGGTGGCCAGCACCGTACGACCAACCACAAGCCATGCTGAGCAATTACAGCAGCCCTTGGTTGAGACCTCAGAAGTTGCACCTGATGATATCACGCCTACACCTGGCCCAGAACATAGCCCTGACTGTAGATTCTCTATTGCGACCACAGCGGACGCTAATTTGGACAGCCAAAGGCGCCCCCTCACCTGCTATATCTGTGGCAAGTTTTTTGGAAAAAAGGAGCCGCATACGAAAGAGGTGTTGGTGTATCTTCCTTGTGGTCATGGTGTAGGCCACAACTGCCTCTTTAACTGGATGACAGCACCCAATAGCTCACGACGATGCCCTGCCATGCCCTGCATTACGCTTCGTCACCATTGCGAGCACATAACCTCACCGGCCACCGAAGAACCATTGATAAAGTTTGGCAACATAGTGGGAGAACGCGAGGCAGCTGTCTTGCCGTGGGATTATGGGTTCTGTTCGAGCTCCAAAGGTGCTAAGCTTCACGCGTCTATTAAAGTGACGGCTACAAAATTAAGGGTGCTGGAAGCTAAACAAGCCCGAGGGGTAAAGTCTCTCGGATTAAATCAGAGGGTCGCAATGCAGCGGTCTGTTGTCGAAAGGCATGAAAGGAAACTCGACGAACTGCAGAAAAAATGGTGGACAGCTCAGTGGAAACGGTTCGAGCAAAGGAAAGATTCGGGTCCATGGGCCTGGCAACTCTAAGTACTAGTAAAGGGGGGCGATAAGGGTGAATCTTGCTCCACGAGAGCTTAAGCGGAACAGGTTATGCATATGTGTATTAGCTCAGGGTATCAGCACCGAATATGACAGCGACATGGTCTTCAGGATGTGAACTTTTTCAGTGATACATGTTCTATGCATGCAATGATCATAATTCGTGATACTTTGTGTTGCTCCCTTGAGGGCTGTATGAAGTGCAGCGCTGCTAGAAATACAGTGTAACATTTGGGGGTGTCACCCACGAGCTTCTTGTTCGTCGTCGCTGTCGTCCATGAACCCCTCCTCAAGACTAGGAACTGTGAGAATCCAATAATACACGGGGTTCATCGAGGCCACCTACTCTCTACTCAGCCGCCTGTTGCTGTCAAGGCCCGACCCCAAGTGTGAATGTAATCTCTGGATGGCATTCAATGTTTGCTCATCCACGTCGCCCAGTTCCTCTCCATCTTCCAAAAAGTCGTCTGCGCTCGGATTGTCGACAGATCCCCTATTCCTACTCCATGTCGAAGGTAAGGTGAATCTTGAGAAGCGATTTACGATGCGATGTCGCAGGCCGGATGTATGGTTGGATATGGATTCCACGGGGAGGTATTGGCTGTAGCGATTGCGATAGCGGCGCCATATGGGGGCGATGACGAACGTGAGGAAGAGGAATATAATGAGGGATATGACGGCTGGGACGAAGAGGGCCTGTATAGTAAATCTTATCAGCTGATTCGGGTCAAGAGACGGAGGTGCTCCAGGCAGTTACGCAGGTTTCCAACAACTAGGTGCGTATCAAAATTGAACGAGGGCCGAGAGGAGACGACTAGGGGAGCATACTTTCACAAGCGATAACATTGACGACGACGACGCAGCCATTTTTGGGCGGGTGGGATGGTTATGTCGGGCGAGGGTGACGAAGACGCCGTGCGGACGGCTATTGATGCGGCGAGGACATGGATGCAGGCTTGGGATGATATTGGACTGTGTTCGCGAGACTACGGAGTTTGGAGTGCTTGGCGGGTAGCGCCACAGGTGCCAAGGGCTCGGGTGCCGCATGCATCGGAGACTGGAGCCTGGCATGCGACACGGACGAATATATCGAAAGAATACTCCGACCCCTATTATGACTTCTTTTGTTCGACTAATGACTGACAAACGAGAACTTTCTTTGGTGCTCACGATCTAGTATTTCTTTTTCAAAGGAGATCCTTTTGCTAAAGAAAAAGAAGCATTTGCGACTTGCAGCAAACACTAAATACTAGCAACGATGATTGTCAGGTTCTGGCACTACTACTACTAGACCCCTGGATTGAGGCTGGTCCGGTCTTTCAACGATTACCGTGTTTCCTCCGCACTACTTCGCGACTAGTGACGCCTTGGCTCAATTAGGTCATTGCCAGTCTCGCAACCGTAAAGCGCCGTGGTTTGAGACACGTAAATTCGTCACGATCACGATACGGCCGATGGAATGCTCTGACAGGCACGCAGAATCTTGCGCACGTACACAGTTCGTCATAGGGTAGTGGCAGAGTAATAACGGGAAGTATGTATGACCGTCTCGCATCCGATTGATCCTCAGGGGCAAGACAGCGCGTGCTTCCAGCAGCATTCTGCGAGGTGGGGTTTCATTGGCGTGTCGACTTAAACATGTATGTAAGGCTTCCTTCTGACGGGATCCTTGGAATTAATAAGTGCATACTACTTCCCTGTGGAGGTATTCTGTTTCTCCATTTTGAACCCCAAGATTGGGATTGGACAGTTGATAGAAGTCCAATCAAGTCGATGTCGTGACTCTGGTCACGTCTCCGTTTGATGCATAACTCTATCTGCCCCCGGTTTCTCCCTGCGAAAAGAGACAATTTAAGCCATACTCCGTATGTGCAAAGGTCTCGTCAGTTGAGACCATCATGCCAGTGATAAATGAGAATGAAGTTTAGCCTCCTTCATGGACATATGCAGTTTACGAAGGTGTCCGGTCAGCTGGTTAGTTCTTGGTAGGGCAAGAGTGACTGCCGCAACTTGGTCAATTCAACTAGCAAGCGCCAGACTGTTCCTAGCTCAACGCTATCATCTCTTCAGGAGATGCTTGCTTCCCCACTTCATCAACATCAAATGATGTCAGCTGCGAACCAGATTCACGACCGTTCTGTTTTCTGTCTACATTTGCCTGGTTATTAGCCTGCTGCTCGTTGTTCTTAGGCGTCCCTGGCTCTGGCCCCAACGCGGTCTCCTGAAGCGTCATCTCAACCGAGCTGCCGGCAAGGCCAAGACCCAAACCGTGTCCCCACCCTGGCCGTGCCCCTTGTTTGTATCCTGTTTCGACATTCTTCAGGGGCCTGTCACGGAACTTCTCCGCATGCTATTGCTGTCTGAAGCGGCTGGTTTCTTGCTGTCAAGACCAATGTCCCAAACACAGCCATTTGTTTCCAAACACTGCTGCAACCGCTTCCGCAGCCTCAGAACGAGCACAACGTTAGCTCACGCGAGCCACCTACGCCTATAGCATCGCCGTTCGACGGTTCGACGGCAACCATTCGCTACTAGTATTTCCTATCGATACGAAACGTCCGACCCCTATTCCCGCAGTGGTGGCCGTCTGTGCTTAGCCGCCGTACTGGTCATTGTCGAACCTGCGCAGTCGCGGCCTGTGAATCGCACCACGTCCCGACTGTTCTTGGATTGTTTCGAGAGATATTAATAACAAAAGAGACTGCGAGCATTCAGCTCGATTGGTAGTTGCGCGGCGCAACACCAGCCGGCAGCGCAAGAAAGTGCACTAAGATAAGGCGGCAGCTTGCGGGCGTGCGCCGAGCAAATAAGGAATCCGGAGGGAGACGACCAACGCGGTCTTTCCTTTGCCAGCACGGGCATCTCTTTAACCTTTCAGCCAAAGAGAGAAAGAAAGCCCACCCACAAAGCTTCCTCCCCCGTCTCTTTGCCACGGTAGACCCTTGCTACCTGTGACACAAAGGCCCCGGCTGCATCTTTCATCATGCGAGCGGCCTTGGGCCAGCACTTGACCGTTTTTACGAGTTTCACATAGGCATTCCGCTGTGCTGTCACTATCGCCGCGGATCGCAACGATGTCATCAGCAGACAAGTCCAGACAATCGTCCGGGGGGCGATCTCTTTTTTCCAGAAGTAAGAACAAGGACAAAAGACCGACAGATGGCGACCACCTTGACGCCGCCAGCACTATCAGCTTCCGGACATCAAGGCACAAAAGAGACTCATCCTCCGTGTCTATTGATACGCCCACATCTCCTGACCCCGGAGTGAACATGATGGCGGGAGTGATAACATCTATCCCCTACGATAATATACCTTCCGGTTCGAGATCCCCGATACCCGTCGATTATCTCCCCGGTTCCGAACAAGCGCCAGCACGCAGAGATCCCTTACCTCACCAACTCAACAAAAGTGGCATGGATTTTCATCAATACCCCTCGTTCGACGCATCAAGCGCCAGACCGAGAGAATCTAATATGACTATGGCTTCTACTGGTCGACAAGCCCAGTTTCAACAATGGGGTCCTACTCGAGGAAGCGTTGCTAGCACAGTCAATGGCTCCCATACCTCTCGATACGAATCGTACCTAGGTCCCAATGATGGCCGTAGCTCTGGTGATAACTTAAGCTTATACTCAGGTAATGCTACCCATCGAGATGCTGGGGGGGTAACACGCTCATCGCAGCTAGCATTACCGAGTGTCTCGTCGCAGAGTTCCTATGGCTCTCAGCCGTCGTATCGAGAATCCAATCGAGTCACCAAGTTTCCCGGCCCTTTTCTGACAGCACACGAGGGCTTTTACTTTCCGAAACCGGACGATGATAATGTTATTGAACAAATGTTCCTTCAGCTTATGCAGAAACGAGGATGGCACAACTTGCCTGAGCAAGCTCGACGACAAATGATGGCTTACCCGCCGCAGAAGAAATGGACACTTCTTTATCAAGATCGTTTGACTGAGTGGCAAGGGGAACAAAAGAGAAGGCAAACAGCTCGGTCCAATCAGTATGCGGCACCGGATATAACGACCTACTCTGACGAAGAAGGCACACCGGAATGGTATGTGCGGAAGGTAATGGAAGACAAGCTGGACGCCAAGGGCCTCGGCAGTCTCGAGGTCAACTTGAGAACCCAGCAGATAGGCTGGGTAAAGCGATTTGTCGAATGCCAGGGACAGGTTGCATTGGTCACACTGCTACTAAAAATCAACCGCAAGACAGTGACCGGTCCTCCGCCGGATAATGCACGAGCAGAGAAGAACCTGGATAAGGGTTACGACATCATTAAGTGCTTAAAAGCTCTTATGAACAACAAGTTCGGCGCCGACGATGCTTTGATGCAGCAAAAAGTCCTTTTAGCTCTTGCTACCTGTCTCATATCAGCACGAATTACAACTAGGAAGCTCGTGAGCGAAATATTAACATTCCTATGTACTTGGGGTCGCGATGGCGAAGGCCACATCAAGGTTATTCAAGCTCTGGATGAGCTGAAGACTCAATCTGGTGAGAATGGCCGATTCGACGCTTGGATGCGCTTGGTAGAGGTAACAGTTGATGGCCGTGGCAAAATGGGTAGCCTGGTTGGTGCTAGCGATGAGGTACGAACCGGTGGTATTGGCATGGAGAATCTGCTCATGGAATATGCCGTCACCACTCTCATGCTCATTAATATGCTGGTAGATGCGCCAGAGCATGATCTTCAGCTGCGAATACATATTCGAGCCCAGTTTACAGCATGCGGCATCAAACGAATTCTCACAAAAATGGAAGGGTTCCAATATGAGCTCCTGGACAAGCAAATTGAGCGGTTTCGTACCAATGAAGCCATTGATTACGAAGATATGCTTGAGAGGGAAAATAGCAGTATCAAGGACAGCGTCGAAGGTGACGTGAAGGATCTCACTGATCCTGTTCAGATCGCCGACGCCATTCAGCAACGAATCCATGGAAGCAAAGCACAGGATTATTTTGTTTCAGCGCTGCAACATCTCATGCTCATCCGTGCTCAAGACGGGGAAGAGCGGTTGCGTATGTTTCAACTTGTTGACTCAATGCTGAGCTACGTGGCCATGGACCGGCGTTTGCCCAACATGGATCTTAAGCAAAGTCTCAACTTTACGGTCCAGAGTCTGCTAGATAAGCTGCATACCGACTCAGAGGCACGGCAGGCGCAGGATGAGTCTCTCGAGTCACGACAGATAGCGGAGGCCGCCATGGCGGAGCGTGACGAAATGCGTGCCAGGCTTGAACTCGGAGCCGATGGACTTGTGAAGAAAATGCAGAAGCAACTTGACGAGCAAGCGCGATTTATTGAAGCCCAAAAAAGGCAAGCGGAGGGCCTGAAAGCTGAGCTGAATAATGTTCAAACTGTCCGTGCTAAAGAAGCTCAGAGAAACGAGCTAGAGACCCGAGAATTGTATCTGATGTTGAGAGACGCACAAGACATCGCGGCGTCTAATGCCCTCAAAGGAAAGCCCAGCCACAGCGACAATGACAATGTCAGCACCAATAACACGGAAACCGCGGAGCAGATGCAGGGCATTTTGGACCGCGAGAGACTAATGGAGCGTCTCCAGAGGCAATTGGAGCGACAAAAGACACAGTACAAATTGGAAGGCCGTGTTTGGGGCGAGGCCGGCGGCCCATCTGACCGGCTGCGAGCCTTACGTGAAGAAATGGACGATGACAATCTGGAATCACCAGCTGGGAGCGGGACACCGCCTCGTGACCTTACCAACAGTGTTCTGGGCAGCGTGGGTCGCCAGACCAGAATTCCTCGGAAACCACTTCGCTCTGACAGAGATGCTGAAGATAGTGTCATTGAAGAAAGTGAAGAAACAGAAGGTGAAGAAGGTGTCATTTACGAACGTCCTCGTATTGTTGAGATGAAGCGGCCAACCATCGACCCTAAGCAACAAGCTGGGCTGGTAAACGAAATAGGTTCCAAGGTCAAGAAATATGAGGGCAGCGACTCGGAAGATGCTGATATCGACGCTACACCATCGCATCCCAGCTTGGAATCATCAACACCAAGAACCTCAGCAGATGATGAGGCTCTTAAGACAGAATCTGCTGCAGCAGGTCCTGCTCCCCCTCCCCCTCCGCCCATGCCAGGCCAGATTCCTGGAGCACCACCGCCTCCTCCGCCACCACCTATGCCGAGTCTAATTCCCGGCGGTTCTCCTCCTCCTCCTCCACCTCCTCCGCCTCCGCCTCCGCCTCCGCCTCCCCCGCCCCCACTGCCGCCGCCGCCCGGATCTATCCCGGGATCAGCCTCGGCAGGCTCCATACCGCCGCCGCCGCCCCCTCCTCCACCTGGAGCTATCCCTTCTGGCAATTACCTACCTCAGAAATCAACTTATACTGCTCCAAGCATTGGCCTCCCCGTGGCACGGCCCAAGAAGAAGCTCAAGGCTTTGCATTGGGAAAAGCTCGACACTCCCGAGACCAGTCACTGGGCTGCGCATGCTCCGTCAGCTGAGGAGCGAGAAGAGAAGTATAATGAGCTTAGCCGAAAGGGTATCTTGGACGAGGTTGAGAAGCTTTTTATGGCCAAAGAAATTAAGAAGTTGGGTGGTGGAATGGCCAAGAGTAGTGACAAGAAGCAAATCATTTCTGCTGACCTGCGGAAGGCATACGGTAAGTGCTACATCATGGGAACCACAATTGTTTCCCAGCTGCTAATGCATCGAATATAGAAATCGCCTTTGCCAAGTTTTCACAACATTCTGTGGAGAAGATTGTTCGGACGATTATTCATTGTGACCCCGAAGTGCTGGATAATCAGGTTGTCATGGAGTTCCTTCAAAAGGATGACCTATGCAATATTTCCGACAATGTAGCGAAACAAATGGCGCCGTACAGCCGAGATCTGACTGGCCCTGATGCCACCAGCCAAAACCGCGAGCAAGACCCCTCGGAGCTCACAAGACAGGATCAAATTTACTTGCATACCGCGTTTGAGTTGCACCACTACTGGAAGAGCCGCATGAGGGCCCTGTGGCTAAGTAAAAACTTTGAATCAGACTACGAGGAGCTCAATGAGAGAATAAACCAGGTTGTGACAGTTTCAGAGAGCCTGCGGGACTCTGTATCGCTTATGAATGTCCTTGGTCTTATTCTCGACATTGGCAACTATATGAATGACGCTAACAAACAAGCGCGTGGTTTCAAGCTAAGCTCACTAGCACGGTTAGGCATGGTCAAGGATGACAAGAATGAATCCTCGCTGGCAGATCTGGTGGAGCGTATAGTTCGAAGTCAGTACCCCGAATGGGAGGGATTCGCCAACGACATCAGCGGTGTTGTGGCGGCACAAAAGATCAATGTGGAACAGCTGCAGGCGGATGCCAAGAAATACATTGAGACCATTCGCAATGTGCAAATGTCCCTGGACTCTGGGAACCTTAGCGACCCCAAACAATTCCATCCTGAGGACCGCGTCAGCCAAATCGTGCAGCGATGCATGAAGGAAGCACGACGCAAGGCCGACCAAATGGAGCTCTATCTTGATGAAATGATTAAAACTTATAAGGACATTATGGTGTTTTATGGAGAGGATCCTACCGATGAAAACGCCAAACGAGAGTTCTTCGCCAAACTAGCCAACTTTTTGATGGAGTGGAAGAAATCTAAGGAGAAGAATGTTCAGCTGGAAGAGATGAGGAGACGAAACGAAGCGTCCATGAAGCGTAAGCACGCTGCGCAAAAGGGAGGAGCTGCAGCAGCTCTGGGCGAAGGAAGCGCCTCACCAACTAGTACCGGCGCGATGGACTCGCTGCTTGAGAAGCTTCGAGCAGCGGCGCCGCAAGCCCGGGACCAGAGAGATCGACGTCGTCGCGCACGTCTCAAGGACAGACACCAAGTGCGAGTGGCTTCGGGCCAAAAGATTCCTGACCTGGCTGAAGTACCCGACGCCGAGATCGGTCTACAAAATATTGAAAAGGCGATTGACGAAGAGGGCAACCCGATTGTTAGCCCTGGGCTGAGTTCGCCTAGAGAAGGAGATGAAGATGTTGCTGACCGAGCCGCTGCCTTGCTACAAGGTATGCGTGGCGACGGGGATGATGATGCCGCCAAGAGAGAGAGCCTACGGCAAGCGAGAAGACAAACAGCTGAGGATGAGCGTCGATTAAGAAGACGGAGGAGAGAGAAAGCAGGCGCTAGCCAAATAAGCGGAACCGCAGAGGAAGCAGCTATAGCAGATGGCACTGCGGCTGGCGTACCAGAAGCGGTCGAAGAAGAGGCGGAGAAGGAGCCAGAGCCAGACGAAGGGCCTATGGAGGGAGCAAAGTTAGAAGCGGAGAACGCGTAGAGGGTCCGTAGATGGGAGAGCTGCATATAGCGTCCGTACGTAATGTTTATATTGGCATATTTTGCTATTCGACAAAGTACTTTAGCAAGCATCGCTGTGTAGAATGTCCGCCTTTCGCTAGTTCCACAATGGCAGCGCACAGAGGCGACGCGAGATGTAGGGTCATAATCTTTTATTCATAAACCGATTTCCCATTCTAGCCCCAAACGCCATACGTATTTATGATACAATTTCATATTGTTACCATATGGGCCGCATCCATCACCACATCACCTACCCGGGCTTAAAGGCCTATTAAAACCTCCCTGCCGGTTCATATATTGCCTATACTCCATCTTCTTCTCTTTCCTTACAGCCCCGGCACTATTGCCAACTACCTTTTTGCCTTTTGTCGTGCCAAAGCCACCAAATCCCATCATGGCTTGCATGTTAGCCATATCGTCGTCGGCATCTGCCTCTCCGGGCTCTGCATCGTCTTCGTTGGACATGGGGGTATCGTCTCGGGACGGGTCGCGTGGTGGGGGACTGCGACGATGGCTAGAAGCAGGAGCTCGGTTTGCTTTATCAGTGCGAGAGCGAGTTGGTAGAGTCGAAGAAGGCGGGGGACTGGTGCTGGTGGGTGACGCTGATCTGCGACGAGCATTTGGTCGGTCTCTCTCTCGGTCATCGTAGCGGCGAGAATCTCTGGGGGACCTGTCTTGGCCGCCGCGGCCTCTCCCACGGCTGCCACGATCCCTATAGCGCCTATCCGGGGATCTGGAACGGTCGTCGTAGCCACCCCTTCTCTCCCGAGATCTAGAACGTGGGTGCGGGCGATCCGAGTCTCTTTCGCGATCGAAGCGGTCTCGGTCCCGTGGTCTTCGAGGGCGGTCTGATTCGTCCCACATTTGCCGGCTGTCTGGCCGGCGGGGACGGCGAGAGTCGCTCATGTTGTGATGGGAAACCTTGGGCTAGGGAGGGGTTGTATGTATTTGACTGGCAGGTGGAGTGATGCCAGGCGGAAAGGACTGTGATGTCGAAAAAAGATGCTTGCTCTTGATGTGGTCAAGTGGCGGAGGGGGGCGTGGGATGGCGAATTGCTGTCCCTGGATCCCCTGGGGTCAGTTTCCCCACACGCCCCAAGCTCCTTGTGCCATGGAGCTCAACCCACCAATGAAACCCGCCGTGCGACAGCAGCCTTGCGCAAGGTCCAACACTCCCATTCACTCAATGGCGAACGTGGCCTTAGAGTGCTGTGTGTGAACTTGACCTTGGCCATCTGATCGCAAGGCACTTGGGTCAGGAAGGCAGTTAACAACCATCTCGCCACTCACCCCATGGTTTGTTGACGGACCGCGAGATTGAGACAACATGGCCAGATTGATCCAATCGCTGGCGGCTGTGGCGGCAATTCTTGCCACGGGAACATCTGCCACGGGTGATCTTTCGGTCCTGACCGGCGAGATTGGGCGCCAAAACAACGAGAGTTTGTTTTGGGGTCCGTACAAGCCCAATCTGTACTTTGGCGTCCGACCTAGACTGCCACAGAGTTTGTGGACGGGATTGATGTGGGGGAGAATCGAAGAGTACAACGATGTCAAAGATGGTGAGGAATCATGTCCGATACCGATGATGGTCGCGTTCTAACAAGATTTAGGCCTGAGATATACTTGCGAACAAGGCGAAGATATTCACGGCTACGGGTGGGACGAGTATGACGCACGGAGCGGTGGTATACAAACCATTCACGACAAGGGCAACAAGATTGACATTACCACATCGTTTAGTAAAATCCCTGGTGGAAGCAATGGTGGCAGCTGGGCTGTCAGGATCAAGGGGAAACTACATGAGGATGCGCCGGCGGACCACAAGACAGTCGTATATTACTACATCGCACAAGAAGGGAAAGGCGAGCTCGCGGCCCAAGGTGAAGGCGACGAGCTCGGATATAAAGGCGATGCCACCTTCATCGGAAACTCGGAGGCTTTGGGTGACTACAAGATTGTTGTCACCGAAGGCAGTGGGAAATACCCTGCCGGGGACCATGAGATTTCCGCCTCTCGCCCCGGAGATGTTACCTTGGTGCACAGCGCCGAGGTTTCAGAGGATGCTATTTGGCAGGCTGTGCCTTTGCTGTTCCAAAAGCTGCAGCCTGCAGCCTTGGCTGTACAGGAAGAGTATGGCATGGAGAATCCGCCGCCAGCGTGGCAGGTTTATCGTATGGCACATCAGCCTGGAAAAGGCAACTCGCATATTCTCCAAAGAACGTACGAAGGCTCGTTTGAATTTGACGTCATTTTCTCATCTGCGTCTGCTGGCAAGGAATTGACCAAGGAGGATGTCACAAACACTATTGCAGCGACATCTAGCGCCTTTGCGGATCGATTTTCGACCATCTTTGAGCTCAAGACACCATTCGACGGTGAACAGTACCAGCAGTTTGGCAAGAGCATGTTCTCCAACCTTCTTGGTGGTGTGGGATACTTTCACGGAAAGCAGGTGATTGACCGATCGTATGCGCCAGAGTATGAAGAGGAGAATGAGGGCTTCTGGGAGGAAACTCGCCAGGCTAGAGAACGCCAAGCCCAGGCACTCGAAGGGCCGTATGAGCTGTTCACAAGTGTTCCATCTAGACCCTTCTTCCCTCGAGGCTTTCTTTGGGATGAAGGTTTTCACCTTGTTCCTATTGCCGATTGGGATATGGATTTGACACTCGAGGTGATTAAGAGCTGGTATAACACGATGGATGAGGATGGCTGGATTCCTCGAGAGCAGATTCTTGGGCCCGAGGCTCGCACCAAGGTTCCTGAAGAGTTTCAAGTTCAATATCCGCACTACGCCAATCCACCTACGCTCTTCCTCGTGATTGAGGATTTCATGGAGCGCCTCCGCAAGACCAACGGAACGCAGCCGTTGGGCAAGGAGAAGTTGGCGCAGGAAAGAAAAAACCCCCTGCACACGGCACATTTGGACAATATGGAGCTTGGTGAGGATTATCTCCGAAAGATGTATCCTTTGCTGAAGCGCCAGTACGACTGGTTCCGCAAAACGCAGCGCGGCGATCTCAAGGGCTACGACCGGGAGGCGTATTCATCAAAAGAGGGCTACAGGTGGCGAGGAAGATCCGAGTCACACATCTTGACAAGCGGTCTCGACGACTATCCTCGGCCACAGCCGCCACACCCTGGTGAGCTGCATGTCGACCTCATGTCGTGGGTTGGCTTGATGACGAAGTCGCTGAAGAATATTGCCGAGGCCCTAGATATGAAGGAAGATGTGGCGGAGCTGGCCAAGACCCTGGATGCTATTGAACACAACCTCAACGACTTGCACTGGTCAGAAAAGGACGGATGCTTTTGCGACGCCACAATCGATGAGTTTGAGGAGCACCAACTTGTCTGCCATAAGGGTTATGTGTCGCTGTTTCCTTTCATGGTAGGACTGCTCAAGCCAAATGACCCGAAGCTCGGCAAGATTCTGGACCTGGTGGCCGATGAGGAGCAACTCTGGAGTCCACACGGCATCCGCAGCCTCAGCAAGCAGGATGAATTTTACGGAACAGGCGAGAATTACTGGCGCAGTCCGATCTGGATGCCTATGAACTACATGGTAGTGAAACAGCTGCAGGTAAGCTTAATATGCCACATTTTAAACGACAGGGGTCATCCCTTCCTAGGCATCGAACCCACGACGGGCTAACCGACTGTCATGTTAGAGCGTTGCAAAACAAGAGGGTCCGTACCGAAGCAAGGCACGGGACATGTACAACAGACTCCGAAAGAACCTCGTGGACACGGTCTACAAGAGCTGGAAGGAGACGGGGTTCGCGTGGGAGCAGTACAACCCCGAAACGGGTGCCGGACAAAGGACGCAGCATTTCACGGGGTGGACGAGTCTCGTGGTGAAGATTATGGCCATGGATGATTTAAGCGAGCACGGCCGAGATGAGCTGTAGAGGACGGCGACGCAGGAGCGTCAGGAACCAAAAAAAAAACGCATCATATAGACGGTGAATCATCGGAGTTAGCGGGCCAGAATAGACGATGGGTGAAGATGATGAGTCGTAATGACGTTTTGTGGTTGACCGACCATCTTGACAAATCAGCTTACCATCTTGACACGTTGTGCACCCAGCCTCGACAAGCTTTGACTGCCGAGTCAAAGAAGACGCTTCTTCTCCTTTGAAAATGTTGTGTGTAGAGGTAAAAATGTAGCCAATCAGTGTTCCCAGACGTCAGTTATGCCAGCATTGTCAACGAGAGCAATGAGTCTTTTGCGGCGCAGTCGGCAAGCCGGCTGCATCTGGCTGATTCTGCCAACGGGTCAAAAAAAAAAAAATTACATGTACCAGGCAGCAGGCACAAACGCCGAAGCGTCGGTGGCCATGATAAACGAGAGCAGCGGAGCGGTGCCTGGCAAAGGCCACGTTTTGGTGCAACTCTGTCTGACACACATTGATGGATTGGGGGACGAAAAGGGGGGGCCAATTTTCTTCTTCTCGCGTGCCTTTTTCCACGACGGGATGAAGCCAGGTGCTGGGTCGGCCAGCCCGTTAGAGGCACCCCGAAGGATTCTGTTACCAGACGGTAGTATGTCTGGTTCTACGGACTGGAGTGCGGCCTGCCTTGTTCTGCGATGCCAGGCGGCGGCGCCCATGAACGAGGTTGCCGGACAGGCGAGAGGATTGGTGATTTGAAATGTTGGTTCGAGAACCGGACAGTGTCGGCACGCTCGGCGCTGCTATTTTTGTTGCCAGACGCCTGGCCCTCTTGTTGGGACACGGCCGCGCACGCGGGCTTACATGGAGACCAGAGCAGACCAGAGCAGAGCCGAGCAGGCCCGGCATCAGATGTCGTCACGATACGAAGCCGGGCGGGACATGCAAGAATATTACGATTGTCGGTTGAACAAGGCCAACCAACGGCCGTGCCAACGAAACGAAACGAAACGAAGCGCAGCGCAGCGGCGTTTGTGTCGCTTGCTGATGTGGCTGTGCGGGCGGAGGGCCTCTCTCAGAGCCAGAGTCACCGCGGCCCTGAACGTTCGAACGTTCCTTTCAATGTTCTGCGCCGTACATGGCCCCCAGTGCCTGGCAATGGGCGCTGTCGACGCATCGGCCGTCGGAGAACATGTCTGGAAACAGCCTTGTGTCACGGCTGAATACGCAGGCACCGTTGGCCCGGTTTGCAGGGGAGCATTGAATTCACGGACGCGGATTGGGCCGTGGCAGCACAGGGGCATTGGTCAGACTGGAGCCAGTCGACTCATCCGTGAGATTGAGAAGCGCCCTGGGAGCCACGTTGTTTCCAAGGTCAAGTCACGACCGGTGCCTCTTTGGGGGCCGCTGAGAAGGCTCCATGTCAGGCAGCCTCAGCCCTACCATACCGCCCGTGACGACGTGTGAGTCGTGGTCGATTCCGTGAGAGGGCAGGACGCCCTTTCTTGGGGGCCGGATTGCCTCGTGGCCGTGGGCTTTGTGGTGAGCACGTCGGGCGGTCGTTTTGGGGGACATGGATATATAAGAGGGATGGACGGCGGCGGCCTTGAGATGAGAATTTTCGTTTTGGCAAGACAGCATCTAGAAAGCATTGCGGCTCGCTCACATATTCTTCTACAATATCACAGTCACTGGCTTTAAGCATCATCGCTCACATACTCTTCTACAATATCACAGTCACTGGCTTTAAGCATCATCGCTCACATACTCTTCTACAATATCACAGTCACTGGCTTTAAGCATCATCGCTCACATACTCTTCTACAATATCACAGTCACTGGCTTTAAGCACCATCGCACCCATATTGCTTATATTATAACACAAGTGCATATATACGCACGCTTCAACTACACGTCAAACATATACACATCTCCAATCTCAAAACCACAAAACTCTTACGCATCATCTCTCATTCACTGAAAATGGCTGCCTCGACTACCTTTGAGCCCGTCAACTACGGCCGCTCAGGATACAACATTGTCAGCGGTGCTCCCGGCACCGTTCCCAGCGACGACGAGGACCGCCGATAAAGGCGACGCCTACCACTGGCACGGCGGCCACCATCGTCACAAACAATGAATACATCAGCACATGTTGGCAACTTTTCTTGGGAAGGGGGGACGCATAGAACATTGCATTTGTCTGCGTAGCATCGACACTGCTACCGCGGACACATAGAACGGCGCATCAACAGTTTCTCACATTTGGAAAAAAGATTTAGAACGCATCAACGGGACGTTGGGTACATGATTCCCTTCGCAGGGGGTACCCAGATATAGAATAGACTAGGGGCCTGTGCTGGACACAATACATCTCTTCTCGACATCGTACAGTCAATATTATACATTGTGCATGCCATGTGCTGACTACTTACCCACGCAGAACCTGCATTTGTTAGCCTCGCGTTTTGCCCAAGTGAAAGAAGAAAAAAGACTGGGAAGCATACTTTTCAAACACCACGCCCAATACCTCCTCCACGTCCCCGGCCTCACCTTTGCCGGTGATTCTGGCTAGACAGTCCGCAGCATATCTCAGATACTCGGCTGCGAGGACAATGTCTGAATCTAACCCCTCTTGCGGTTGCGCTTCGCCCATGAAATCCTCTAAATGGCCTCTACATTTGGCAAGTAATTGGCGCTGTCGCTCAGTAACACCCAGCAGGTCTCGCATGTCGGGCGGCATGTCTGTCATTTGGGAAAAGGAGGCAACCAGTGCGTCGACGACGCTTTGGACGCCACTGTCCCTCGATGCAGAGCCGTCTTCTTTGCAGGATATGCAGATTGGTTCTTGTGGTAGACCAGGATATTCCTCGCGAACCAGTTGGCGAAACTGCCGGAGCAAATGGGACAGTACATCTCCATCGACCGTGTCTTGCTTGTTGACAACGACTAGAGACGATTGTGCCTCGGTCGCAAGGGCCATCGTCTCCTTGTCGAAGTGGATAAACGGCCCGGACGGCCCTGGCTCTACGGATGCCAGGACGAGAACCACGTCCGACTCCTGTGCCCTCGCCCTTGCTCGTCGAATGCCCTCTTCTTCCACGGCGCCAATCACCTCGTCGCTCGTCTCCGTCTTGGACCGGAAACCAGCGGTATCGGCAAAGGAGCATAGAAACCCCCGTATATCGAGACTGGCCTCTACAATATCCCGTGTAGTGCCGGCCTCGCCGGAGACAATGGATGCTTCCCGACCGACAATGATGTTCATCAGGGAGCTTTTTCCAGCATTCGGGGGCCCGACCAGGGCGATGCGAATTCCGTTGCGCAACAACTCGCTTCGTTGGCTGCCCAACTCGTGCAGGTCGATGGAGCGCAAAATCTTGGCTACCTGTCTTGCCACGTTTTCCAACAGCTCAGACTGCGACTCGTCAAAATGCTGGTCCTCTGAAAAGTCTATGAGAGCCTCAATCTCCCCGCGGGCTTGGAGTAACTGGTGCCGCCAGTCTTCGTAGTTTCGTCCAAGCGCGCCAGAGTTACCTCTTACTGCTGCGCGACGCTGCTGTTCCGTCTCTGCGTCCAGAGTGTCGCCCAGGGATTCAATTTGCGCCAGATCAAGGCGGCCATTGAAGAATGCACGTTTGGTGAATTCGCCTGGTTCGGCGTAGCGGATGCGCGTGCTGGCCTGGCATTTCGGTATAGCAGACAAGACGGCTTTCACTGTCGCTGGGCCGCCATGGACGTGGAGCTCAAGGACTTCTTCGCCGGTGACTGTTTTGGGCGAGGGGAGATGGAGTAGCAGGGCTTCCACATCTAATATGTTGGTTTCAGTGTTGGATGCCGGGTCAAGTAGCGTGCGAACAGTCGCACGCCTAGGTTTGGGTGGTGGTTTGCCCGGGCATAAGCCTTGGTATATCTGAGCTTTGTTGTTAACCAAGTTCGATATGCTACATCGAGAAGCTCACCTGTAGACATGATGGTCCAGATATGCGAATTACTGCAATCCCTGCTCTGCCATGTGCCGTGGACAAGGCGTAGATGGTATCCCCGAAGGCTGGGACGTTGTTGTGAACGTGTCCTCGGCGAATGGTGTTTGACGTGAAGTGTTTTGCAAGGGACTGACGCCGCGCCACATCAAGGAACTTGTAGCATGGTGAAGCACGGCGCGGTATGCGAGGCCCGGCGAATATTATTTTGGTACAAGATGAGCGCCGGAGCATCGACAAAGTTGTGCGACGAGCTGAATATATCGGGGAGATGACAGCAGGTGGAGGTTGACAACCGGACCTAATGAAAAGACAGCGTCCGATCATCTGCACGATCAATTGATGTCTGGCTGGTGGTTGACAGGCTGGGGGATTCGCTACACAGCGGGCGGAATACCGCTTGACACCCCCCCTGTCAGCGGAGCCGAGCTTCATCGTGCTTGATTCGATTTCAAGACATCCTGACAACTTTTCATGTTTTACGGCAAAAACATACATTTCACTGCCGCCATCTTGTAAGCGTCAATAGTTATTTGATTGTTTTGATTTTTATACCACTGAGTACGCAGCATGTTGAACAAAGCTTGCCATTGATGCTTGGTCGTGGCCAATTACCACACCGTACGGCGCTGCTTCCAGTCGCAACCCGCTAACTCTACGCCTTGGCAAACGTCTCCAGGTATTTGACTACATATGTAGCTTCTTAGCTTCCTCGAGCGAGATACAATCGCCAGAGACCTCGAGATGGGGGGCAATGTCAGCCTCGGTATCATTGATGATGTTACCAGCGGATTCCGAACAATGTGAGTGATCTGCGTGTACATGTCTCGAGGGAATGGTGGATGCTTGCAGTCACAACCGTCAAATGTGAAGGAAGAAAGTTGAGCCTGGGATTTGTGTTTTCTGGGTTTTCTTGAATGGATAGAAGCTTCAATATTTTTTCTTACAATAATATAAAAAAAAAAAACGCGCAAACGTAGCCGCAGTGGGACGAGTGAGAGGGACGACGGGCTCTCTGTGAGCGTTCTTGAGAATTGGCACCAGCGAGGTACATACCCAAGTTTACCAGCTTAGAGCGGGTTGGTAAGTGTCGGTACCCAAGATCCAAGTGCATACAGAGAACCAAGGACAAAATTCGCTTACAAGCCAGGGTAAATGGTGTTTGACTACTGCGTCGTTGCCCTGCCTGGGGGCCATACGAGAAACTCATGAATTCATGAAAATGCACTTCCTCTAAGATTGAGCAACATGAAGCAAATTGAGCTCACCCCTGTCGCTATGGGAATTACTTGGAGGGCGACCATGACGACGACAGCCAAAACAGCAGGCGGTGAGACGGAATATCCACGGCATCCACTCACCGCGCCATGATAGCTAGCGACGACGAAGCTTGGGTTGCCTGGCCGCATCGACACCTACCTACATACCGCCGAGCACCATCGAGCACCCCAAAGTAGTCGCTGCTTGGCCGACCACGATCAGTTGCTTCTTCACGACCACAACCTAGTCACCAATTCAGCTGCAGCAACGAATCGCCTTGTCAAACTAGACCATCATGTTCAGAAACAACTACGACAACGATTCTGTCACATTGTGCGCACCCCCCCGCCCTGGCCTCTGCGACGTCTCCCAAGCTAGCATCACCTAGTAAGCAGGTCATAGTTGGCCTCAGCTAACATATAGTCCTCATTAGCTCGCCCCAGGGCCGAATATTTCAGATTGAATATGCCGCCGAGGCTGTGAAACAAGGATCCGTCGTCGTCGGTATCGTCAGCAAAACCCACGCTGTACTCTGCGCTGTCAAGGCAGGTCTACGTCCCAACGTTGTTTCGCAAACAAATACCGTCTAACCAGCTCGCAGAGAAACGCCGAGGAATTGTCCTCTTACCAAAAGAAACTCTTCTCCATCGACGAGCATGCCGGCATCGCCATTGCCGGCCTGACATCGGATGCTCGCGTCCTCTCCAACTTCATGAAGCAGCAATGTCTTGGCCACCGTCTCACCTACGGCCGCGCCATCCCGCTCCGCTCCCTCGTCGACATGATTGGCGAAAAGGCCCAGATCAACACCCAAGTATATGGTAAGCGACCGTATGGTGTCGGCCTGTTGGTTGCTGGCGTGGACGAGCGAGGTCCTCACTTGTTTGAGTTCCAGCCATCAGGCATGACGGAGGAAATGGTTGCGTTTGCGATTGGTGCCCGAAGCCAAATGGCAAGAACATATCTGGAACGCAACGTGGAGTCCTTTGCGGACTGCTCAAGGGAAGAGCTGGTCAGGCATGGTCTCAAGGCACTTCGGGAGAGCTTGGTCCAGGACAAGGAGCTGACTGTGGAGAATACCTCCGTCGGCCTGGTTGGTGTACAAGGCGAGGGAATGAAGGACATTGAGACGTTCAAGCTTTATGAAGAGTTTGAGGTTAAGCAGTGGATTGATAGTGTTGGTGAGAGCCAAGGAAGCGGTGAAGGCGAGGAAGGCATGGATGTCGATAGCTAGATGATTCAAATGAGGGGCAATGTTGGCAATCGGAAGGGGAGAGCACGGCGCTAGATCATGTACAATTACAACTAAACGCTGCCTCGGAGCGGCAGATCACGGTCTCGACATGAAATACAAAGAGATACAGACAAAAAAAGTGCTCTCCCGCGAACTTTGCATTATGTATTATTTCTTTCTGAACAATGGTTAAAATAGTGGTATTGGGGCATGCCTTGATCATATATATATATATATACCTCCCTCCGCGTCCACATCCTTAGTCCTATGAAACGCCAGTAAAGAGAATGTCATCCCATCATAACTCATTCTACATGATCTATATATGTATTAGCTATGTATATGGATTCTATTGTTTGCCCCACTGAAGCTTGAAAGTAGCCCCGGAAACCTTGTAGTCGCTCAGTGCTTTGACGGCACTCTCGGCATCGGTAGCCGCAACGACGATATTCTCATTACCAGGCTTGACGAAGCCCTGCTCTGATGCCTTGCCCAGCCACTGTACAATGCCGTCCCAGTATCCCTCAATGTTGAGTAGGCAAATGCCCTTTGTGTGGATGCCCAGCTGGTTCCAGGTGATGACCTCGAAAACCTCTTCCATGGTGCCGTAGCCACCGCTCAGGCCAATAAAGCCGCTACCGGGCCCGCCGTTGAAGACTTGCTCGGCCATGAGCTTCTTGCGGGTGTGCATGTCCTTGACCACCGTGGTGCGGCCATACACGGATTCGGTGGGGACAACCTGGTTATTGACGTTGACTGTCTGGTAGGTGCCATCTCGCTCATATCTGACCAGGGCCTCGGGGATGATGCCGTGAACCGAGTCGGGTCCGTTGATGGCGCAGACTGTTTTGGCAACTTCGCCCATGAGACCGACAGTGCCACCGCCATATACTGGGTTGACATGTTAGCCAGCAGGATATTTTGAAGAGCAGAATTGAATCTGCAAGACTACGCACCCAAGTCAATGTTGTTCTCGGCCATGACTCTGCCTAGTTGCTGGGCGGCTTCCATGTGTGCTGGGCTGGTTCCGCTGCTGGAGCCGCAAAAGACACAAATCTTTGTACGAGGCGTGCTGCTGCTGATGCCGTTTGTCGTGGCGGTGCCGTTCTGGCCCGCGATGGGCGCGTTGGACGACATTGTGACTTGGTTGCGTGCTGTTAGGAGCTGAGATGGCGGTTCAAGAGTTTCAAGTCGGGGCGGAGGCGGCTAATAATACGTCGGTAGGAAAGGAATGAAGCCGATCTCTGGAGGGGTGGAGTCAAGGCTTGGTGAGTCGGACGGAAGCTGCTCCGTAATGACAATGAATGTGAGTAATTCAACAGAAAGGAAAGCGAATATATACCCCTCGGGTTCGAGGGAGTGGGCAACAAGCGGTTGAAGTAAGAGTCATAGGCCGAGGGTTGGGTCTACGGCAAGGTCTGGCGTTGAAATAACGATACGTCAACGGGTCCAATGACTTGGCCACGCCAGAGATCCTGTGGGACGCCCACATTGTCTTTGCTGGCTGGGAGGCTTTAGTCCAGGTGGAGAAGATCACTCGGACACTGAGGGTCAAAAGTGTCCAGTTGTCAGTGTGACGAATTACAACTTTGCAAGTTCACAACCGTCCCTATCATGGCAGATGCCGAACGCCCCACCGAATTACATATGTACATGTCAACTGGTCCGGTACTCCGTACTTGGCAGTGTTCGACCAGCATGCACTACGAGGAATTCTCCACTTTTGGTAGTGCAGCTGGCAAGCTTGTGATAGATTGGTGGTGTACTCCGTAATGCCCATCTCGGCTCGCAACGAGGTCTATTGGGCAACAATCTTGCACATAACTATCCATGCATGACAAATGATGACATGGATATACTCCGTACTCTCTCTTGACTCTGTTGCAGGAACTGCATGCGTGACGTGCTATTGGGCATCGTTGAGGAGTTGTATAGAATGACTACCTTCGACTTAGAGTTGGCAACATGTAGATGAGACGTAGTACTACTAGTAGTTTGCCGTCCTGGTGACTGAGAAGATACATGCCCAATAGATTGAGGTATTAAAGACCATGGAAGTATGCCGTCAATATGAGCCACAGGAAAAAACCATCCTGTCAGTGCCTAGGTAATATCTGAAATAAAGCTGGTACGTATCTCGCGATATTGTGGCTATTGTGTTGAGCATTAATCGGCATGGCCCGAGCGAAGGTCAACATTGACTTGTTCTCAAGGCTCGGTTCCGCAGCGCGGCCTCGTGGGGCAAGACAGGCTCCTTCGTGGCCTCAACTACGTACTTAAGTACGGAGTATGGAACTAGTACTAGTACTAATCGACCAGACATGTGGCGCCTTCAAGCTGCGCACTGCGCCAAAGGGGGATTAGCGTGGCGGTGCGGTGCTCCAAGTTTCACAGACAGTTGACTGGCCTGCGAGCCAAATCGTACTCGACAACCTCTAGCGAATTTTACAACCGTCGAGGCAACCAACTGCGCTGCAACGTCGTCAACCCGCGGCGAGTCGAAAACCAACCCTGTTCTGGAACTTTGCGAGTCCCTTATCCTGTCTTGGGTCTTGTCATGTCTGGGCTTGACCAGGTCATCCGGCGGCAGCAGCCCGAGGGCCAACCACAGCCACAGCCAGAACGACATGTAAGCGTTTCCGTGGGCATGCAATTGCTTCTTTAGAAAGGCACATGGCTAACCATGGACCGCGTCCAATCAGGGATTCAACTTCAACAAGCTCCTTTTGGGCGGTGCTGCATACTTTGGGCTTAATCTTGCCCTCTCCTACTTCCTTGCCAAAGATCAGCGAGGCGTCCAAGTGACCGATCCTAATACCGGCAAACCCATCACAGTTGCATCCAACTTGGGTGACATTCCGGCCTTCGAACTGCGTCCCAGCCAGCTTGACGAGGGTGCGCAGTACCGACCGATTCCTCGGAAGATCGCGCCAATCTGGCCTCAGGACAGCCATGTCGATATCGTAGTAACTCTATCCCCGTCCTTCAACCCGACACCTATCTCGGAAACCCCGGCCGAGTATGTCGTGCTGCAAGAAAGGAATTTTCAGATGAGCAACAGCTCAGAGAAGCGCACCGTCGATACCAAGTTTACTGTTCCGAGGGCTGTTCAGTTTAATGGAACCCTTTGGGGCCACTTTTACGTTGGCCTGACCGGTAGTAACCTGGATCCCCGTCGGCCAGGTTATGACCCTGCCAAAGCATATCATTTTGCCTATCCTTTGACTCAATATCTGCCCAAGAAGAAGGTAGCCAAAACGAGAAACCTACTTGATAGTCATTCTGAAGATGAGGAGCCTGAGGAGGAAGAGCCTACCGGTCCTATCATTACCAATCACTACCACCCTAATGCTAGCTTCGCCTTTGTCCCAGCCATGGGTGTCAAGGACTTCAATTCTATCCATCCTGCTGTCAAGCACTTCCTTCGTCTCGAAGCAACAGGAGCTCGCGACGGTAGTGGCCAAAACGGCTGGTACTGTAAGTTAAGCTGCACTCTGTTACTTTATCTAGACTAAACTTTTGCCAGATCCGGTCTTGTTTATCAATAATTTTTGGCAGCTTGCCAACCACATGACTGTACTCAATGAAACGGTCAAGGAGCTTCCTCTGCACATAGATCTAACCACCATGCCTTTTTGGAAATTTAGCACTCTTGCATCGATTGAATTGAGCTCCAAGGAAAACGCTCGCCAGGCTGCGTTTGGGCACTCTCTGCCCACCGGCGGCGACGGTTCCGAGATTGAAATGGTCAAGGAAATATTCATTGACACGAACCCCATCCTGTTGGGCATCACGGCTGTAGTCAGTATCGCACACGTCATTCTCGAGACGCTTGCTTTTGGCTCTGATATCGCCCACTACCGCAAAAAGAAGGACAATGTTGGTATTTCGGTTCGCTCCATCTTGGCAAACGTTTTCATGCAGACCATCATCTTTCTCTACCTTCTTGACAACTCTCAAAACACCAGCTGGGTGATTCTAGGATCCCAAGTGGTCGGCATTGTCATCGAATTCTGGAAGGTCACGACTGTTGTGGACGTGCGTTTCCGACCCTCGGCACCCGGCTCGCTCTTCCCCTACTCTCTGGTCTTTGAGGACAAGCACAAGCTTACCGAGACCGAGGAGAAGACCAAGGAGTATGACGCTGCTGCTTTCAAGTACATGTACATTGTGGCTGTGCCTTTGCTGATTGCTTATGGTGTCTACTCCCTCGTGTACGATTCTCACAAGTCTTGGTATTCCTTCATCATTACTACCCTGGTTGGGTCTGTATATGCCTATGGTTTCCTTATGATGGTTCCATCCCTGTACATCAACTATCGCTTGAAGAGTGTGGCTCATATGCCGGCCAAGGCTATGATGTACAAGTTTCTCAACACATTCATTGATGATTTGTTTGCATTTACTATCAAAATGCCATTCCTCCATCGACTGGCGACTTTCCGTGATGACATCATCTTCTTCATCTACCTGTACCAACGCTGGGCCTACAAGACTGATTACACTCGTGTCAACGAGTTTGGGCAGGGCGGTGATGAGGGTGAGCCTTCCTCTCAAAATGGGAAGGAGAGCGAGGCAATCGAAGCCAAGAGGGCAACTGATGCCAAACCCGAGGGCAAGGCCACTGGCGCCGATACTGGCAAGGCTACAAAGCGAAAGTAATCACCTTAATTAGATCCGAATAGACGAATTCCTTTACACATTTCGCCAGTTTTGGCCGACTTGTCGTTTTCGGACGCCAGTCGTAAAGTTTGGAATGACCTACGGCTATAAGTTTACGTTAAACCCGACGGGTAGAATTGGGGTAAATAGACCACCTTGCTAGTGAGGAAGACCTAGCCGACGTGTTATTATTATGATGAGCTGAGTTTGAGCTAAGAGGACTTGCGGTCCCGTGGGCAAGCAGCTGCCATCCATCAATATCTCCAAGGTCCCAAGCGACAGTCTGTATTTGCCAGGACATCTCGCTCAGTTGTCATTTATTCATTATGTAGAGTGCCTCGCTGTCCAACCACTCTACCTCCATTCCCTCGGCAGCATCCCATCCATCCAGCGTAGCGCGGAAATCGCGGGTGGGGATAGGATCTCAAGAAAACAGCGCACAAACGGTGGCAGGTCAGCTGTTTCAGGTCGTTTCTTATTCAGGCTTTCTCGCTGAAGTAAACTTGCACTTGCCGTTTCGCTGAAAGGCGGATTAATGGCCATGTCGGCTGTTCTGGATTTGCCTATTTGCGGTGACGAGCTGACCGCAATTACTTCCATGTTACTGTGGTTGAGCTGGAATAGGTGCTGAACCGAGGGTGATTATAATGATCCTTCGATACGTGCCGAGGGCGATTGAGCAAACGCTTATAAGAACCAATGCTAGAAATATCGGGATAACTGAGGAGCTGGGGAGTCAAATTATTGCGGGTGACAGTGCCAACGAAAACGATGACACTTTGCGGAGGAGCAAGGATCGAGTTTCCGATGACTCCAGAGATAAGTATGATGTTACATGGAAGAGGTGTAGCTAAAACAGACAAGCCTTTGACTGCGACATGGCGGTTATCGAAAGTGAAGACTGTTGACGTGCTCATCCCGTCGCAGTTCTTCACGCAAGATGGAAATGGGTCAGCACGGCATTCGGTATGAGGCGCGTCTCGTATGCTTTTGAAATCGCTCTTACAGCATTGGAGTATTCTAGCAGCGTGAGACGTCCAAAGTATCACCTATTTATCTGCTTGGGGAGCTTGTCCCGGGACCATTGCTAGCCATTGCTGCTCTTATACTAGCCGGAGCACTCTCGACTGCTTGCCAGCTAAGGGACATTGCCATATGAAAGGACAGGCCAGGTCCGTATCATGACCAATGGCTTGAGAACCTGACAAAAAGCCATTTCAGTCATCAGAGTTGGCAACAACGGCACTGATAATTGTTGCCGAGAGGGCTGGAACAAGATACTTTACTCTGACAACTAAATGATTGAAATGACAGGGTATGGCGAGTTCTCTCAAGACACGTTGAAATGCAGCAGAGCAGGCAGCATGTCACATCATATACATCGGGCGCCGCGGTTGTTGACGGCAAATCACAATCTCGCAAGATGTTTTATATCCCGCCCAACAAGATCACTGCTCTTGCCACTTGTTAACTAC